AGAGCCATTGGGCTCAAAGTGGGGATGACTACGCAATGACCGGATGCGCTGGACGGGACGACTGGATGTACCCAAGCTAGAATCCGGTCAACCGGATGCAGTCACGTGTCACGCCTTCGAATGTTAGCCATGCTATGCCAATGGCTAGCAGCCGCCCTTCGTGCACATTAAATGGCGACCGGCCGCACCCAATGCGATGACTAGACGTGCCCAAGCCACGTTAGGTCACGCGCGCGCCTAGGCCCTCGAGCAAACGATTCAGACATGCCATGAAGCGACCAGACACATCACCGCTTAGAGTTTGGTCGACTGCAGAGGGGTTCTAGAGCCAGCAAATTATGACCGAATGAGTTTGCTCATGCATGACCAGACGTAGCTAGAGTTCGGTCCTCACTGTCCTCGTGCAACCGCTCGCGTCAGCGTACATCAGCACTGATCGGACGTAGGCCTTGTGCATCTAGTCCCTCACCTCCTCAGCATTTGGTCAAAAACCGAGAGCTCGCCCTTCTCTGCTCTACTGATTGGATGTGCCTGGGGAGAGTCCTATCTCCCCGAGGCTAGAGTCCGGTCACAGAAAACTTCACCTCCTTGACTCAAACTTCTCCACCCTTGCTCGAATGTGCCAAGCACCAAGTGTATCACCTTGTGCACGTGTGTTAGCAACTTTTCACAAACATTTTCAACGGTGTTAGCACTCATTAGAATCTAAATGCATATGCAATGAATTAGAACATGTAGTGGCACTTTGATAACCACATTTCATGATGAATTTCACTCCTCTATATAGTATGACTATCTATCCTAAATGTTATCACACTCACTAAGTGTCTTGATGACCAAAACAAAATGACCCTATCAAATATACCTTTGCCTTGAGCCCATTTTGTTTTTCTCTTTCTTCTTTTCCATGTCTAGAGCTTGATCATCATCACATGTCCAACACCATCACCTTGGACTTTAATTCCTCCACCACTTGGATTGGTACTAACCTATCTCATGTACACTTAGAGCCAAAGGTTAGCACCTAGGGTTTCATCAATTCAACAAAACCAATCTAGAGCTTTCAGCATTTGATTTGGCCAACTCCTTAGCCTTCTTTCGGGCATCCTCAACCTCGACAATCTTGTCACGCTTCTCCCTAAGTTTCATGCAAAGGCCAATATTGTGATTTAACAATTCATCCGCCTGCTCCACTTTGTTCTTGTTCTCAGCGATGGTAGCCTCCGGTGACCCAACCTGTGCCTTCAACTCCATGTTGGCCATGACCAACCCCTCCTTCGACTTCTCAAGTTTCTCAACCCGCTCAAGCAGCTTAGTCTCAATATGGCCATGACGTCAGCGAGCAGCCCGCGTGAGCATGATAGCCATCATGCCGGTCACCTCCAAATCCTTGGTCAAATGATCAACCAACTCATTGCTCAGCAAGAGCTCCGCCTAGGGGATACAAATCCAATGATACACGCCGCCATAAACCAGCACTCCTCATCAGTCCCAACCAAGTAGCAGCCATGAAGGTCCGGGTTAGTAAACAGCTCAATGTCCGACTCATCAGCACTACAAGCGCTAGAGAAATGCCATAGACTACCACGGCTGGCATCGCTCAGCGGCCGCTTCCCAGCAAAACTCTCAACCTCATCTTCATCGATGGGAACATCATGACCCTCGCACATTATATGAACACAATGATGATGAGGGATCGCACCGACGTCCTCAGCATGAGAGTCAACCTCTCGATCCTCCCCCGCCCCACCGCCTGCCAACCCAAGTTCCGCAGAATCAACATCACAATGGATCATGCTGTCTTCATCCCCCGCATCCTCATCACCATCATCATCATCAGTCCCATCAGAACTGCTACCCTCGCTAGACGAGCTCGATTCATCTCCCTTCCCTCACCCGAACCCTCACTTGCCTCCTTCTCCTCATCATCCTCATCGTCTTCCTCATCAGAAATGACTTGCAAAAGCAAGAAATTAGCGAGGCTCGGCATGCTCCGAGTTGGTCAAGCCTCTAGAACCACATCCGATCGAATCGCCGGTGCAACCACCGAGACAGGCCTCACGGTCGCGATGGGATACTCAACTTTCAAAGAAGGCACCATCCCCGCCACAACCCTTGCAGCCTAAGGCACACCAGCGCATCCCATGACCATGTCCGCCATGCTTGGACACACCAGCAAGCTTGCCAGCTACCTCCGACCTCTTCATTTTTTGGGTAGCCACTTCCTTGCTACCCCCGGCCTCCGTTGGCTCAACCTGCGGCCAATCTGGATACATCAACCCAAGCAGGTCGAAGGCGCGATTGATTCGATGGCGATCAGCCAGTGCATCCCTTATCGCCTTGGTTTCAGCATTACCAAGAGCACCAACAAGCTCCACAGTGGCCTCCGCAACCTCCCTATAAACAACTTTAATCCCTGCTGCCTGAGAGCTGCTCTTCTGGAGGACCCTCGACCAAGCCTGCTTAACATCGATCCTGAGCCCTTTCAATCCACGACCCCGATCCATCGCATCATCCTTCACATCAAACCATGATTTATTAGCCCTTAGAGGCAGGACCTTCGCACAAACAAACTCCTCAACCAGGTCACGCGCGCATTAGTAGCGCGGCAAAGCCCTCAACACATCAACAACAGCAGGACAACCATCAGTCATAACAGCGTTCGAGGTTACATTATCAAGCCTCGCCAATTTTCCACATAGGCCTGGTTTGCTCTCTAGCCTTAGATAAAACCAGTGCTCTGTCCAGGGCAAAGCCCACTTGTTCTTCTGTGCCTGAACCGGAACCTCCGCACCTTGTCGATAGCAAAAGGTATAAACTCCAAACTAACCCAAAGCAGTCTTCCCAGCAACCTTCAGCTTATGGGGCTGTGAATGAACCCTGTGGAGTCGTATGAACCCTTCAAGATTTGGTTCCACCCCCTGTGACTTACAAGCCCCAACATAAATACCAAGCTTCATGAAGCACGAAGGGTTCAGCTGATGAAACTTCAGATTAAACCTCTTCAAGATCCCAATAACAAGAGGATGTGGGGGAAACCTCAACCCAGCCACGAAGAACTCTCGGTACACGACAACCTCATCATCGTGAGGGTCCGGAATAGTCCCTCTCCGGCAGCCTAGCAAGATCCCGGGAAAACCAACCAAGCTTCGCGAACTTGTCCAACTCCTCCAAGGTGACCCTCGTAGGCCCAAACTCAAAACTCACAGCAACCTCCGATGCAGAATCAATAGCCTTGGAGCTATCAATGGGCCTTGAGGTCTTCTTCACCCGAGCCATCTAGCTACAAAATGAAAATAATAAAAACAGCGTCAGCAACAATAAAAGGCTACAAAAGCTCAAAAACAAAAAACAACTACAACATACCTAGAAGAGAAGGAAGCAGCAGATAGAACAAGGAAAAACCCCAACCTTCGTTCAAAACACCAACCCTCGCACCAGCACAACCCTCGCTCACTCGTTTCAGGAGCAGCAACTAGCCAACAAACAAAGTGAGAACAAGGAAAAACCCTAAACCTACCACAACTATTTATAGGCACCCAGCGTCCACCCAAAAGAAAAGAGATCGTTGCAAATCCCGAGAAAACAGGACACGAACGGGCGCCGTGAATCCTGAGAAAAGCAGGGAACAACCTCCGACAATCGCGTCATATCAGAGCGCATAACAAAACCACCTAAAAAGAAGGAAACTCTACCTCTAAAACAACAGGCTGAAAACCGATATAGCCCAGCATTGGTCAAGCGCAATGGGGGCGTCGCTGCGCCAGGCCGCAGGCAAGGTACCCTCACCTACCACCCTCCTACGAGTTTCAATGTTGCTCCGACCCATCACGCTGGGCCCGATCCTCGAGGGGCTACTGTTGGGGGGAGGACCCCGGCACAACTCCTACCCTGGCGCCTGACCCTCTGCTAGCCCGACTAACTAGCCTCGTGGCGGGTAATCACCTTCGCCGCGAGGGTTTCTGTTCATTGTGTTGTCCTATGTTTTCAGGTGTCACGTGCGAAGGTTTACCATTTTGGTTGAAGGACTACCGTGAGCAAGGCACTGGCTGATAGCAAGTGGCGGATCCTCGTTCGGGACGCACGAAGGTTCAGCATGAGCCGTGAGAAGGAGCCAGCTTGAAGACGGTAGCGGCCCCACCATGACGGTTAGGGTTGGGGGTGGTTGGCCAAGGGAGGAAGATTACTGCCGTACCCTTGGCTATTGTGTAGCAGTTACCTTGTCGAGGCTGACCCTAGTGTAATTTCACCACGACCCCGGGTGCGGTCTATAAGTACCCGGGGCGCTCATGTAACAAGGAGAGATTTTTCAGACAATTTAATGAGTAATTAATCCGCATTTATTTCTGGTCCCGATCTCGGTGGACCTTCTCTCTCGTTCACTCTCACTTATACACTTTCCTCCATGTGAAAAACCATCGGCCTCTCTCCGCGTGATCCTCAGCGAGGGTGAGAGGTCAGAGTGACCCCACACCCCGACGGCCACCTTGGAGAAGATTCACATAAAGCCAGCAAAGGAGAATTTAGGTGAATGCATAGCGGCGTGCAGGCGAGGCCGAGACGTGGCAGCATGATGGCGGTGAGGCGGAGGCATGGCGATGCGATACCAACAAGGCAAAGACAATGATTGGCCTATTTTGCGTGTATAGCCTACGAACTATAGGCTGATAATGATTTGGAACTGTGGGCTTACAAACCGTCTGAGACTGAAACGATAGAAGGTTCTTCTGGTTTTTCTAGGAACATAATTTTTGCTAAGTATCTAAAGATAAATTATATTTAGATAATGGTAATAAAGAAGAAGGTTCAAATTGATAACGAAGAAGGTTCAAATGAAAAAACCACAGTCCCAAAGGGAGTTACAAGGAAAACAAGGACCATAGTAGTAAACTGATTTGAAAGGGGTATTATTGAAATGTTTCCACGCATGCATGTTTCTTGCTACACGCATGTCTGAATCAACAACGAGGAAACATGCAAGCTACTCGTTCCGCTTGAACTCAAGATGTGTCGGCGACGAAGTCCCGGACGACGGTCCGAACGGCGATGGGGATCCTCACTGAGTGCTTGCCGTCATCCAGCCACGTCAGGCTCCCAAACGCGTAGCCGCCCTGCACTCTCTGCTTCGCCACGAACGTCACCTTAAACGTCGCGTTCCTGGCGCCACCTTTCTGGAAGGCGATCACCGGAGGCTCCACGCTCATCCTCAGGCCCGCCGGCGCCTCCACTACGGCCCGGTACGTCGCCTTGGCCGGCCCGACGTTGGTGACCGTGCGTGAGACTGTGATGGACTTTTTGAGGTCGGGCACAGCGATGGAGGGGAGGTTGAGCTGGACAATCTCGTCGGTGTCGGTGTACTCCTCCGGTGTGATGTCGTATACCAGGCCAGGGTCAATGGCCTTGTCCGGCTGTATGATGCCGCCGCCCATGTCGAAGGCGTCCGCCGGTTTCCTTTGCAATGAGTTGGCTTGGATTGGAATGCCGAATCGATCCGTCACCGATGCTGAAGCAGACGGACAGTAGGCTTGTTGTTAGCGTTAGGCTGACATGCATGCATATATATATATATATAATAAACTGGTAGTACCTGTGGTAACAATGGCGGACTTGAGCATGGCAGGCGACCAGTCCGGGTGAACCGCCTTGAGCAAGGCGACCACTGAGGAGACATGAGGGCATGCCATGGATGTCCCAGACATGAGCTCGTACGAGTCACCCTTGGCTGCCAAGATGCTCACTCCAGGGCAGCTATGTCGGGCTGTCGTCCAAACACAAACCAAGGGCAGCTATGTCGTCGTCACGGCAAAGATCAATGCATGACCCAAGAGAATGTACTCCTATATAAGTATCACATCACCTTGAGTATACCGGGGAACTGTGCACTGGGGCCCCTCGACGAGAACGTGGCGACTCTCGGTGAGGCAACCTGGGCTCCGACCACGGTCGCCGCCGGAGATATCTTGGCCACCGTGCTGGCAAAAGTTACACACACACACACACACAGAGGAACAGGGGACGGCGGTATCATGAGAAGAGGAACAGAAGAGCCAGGCATCATTCGAGGACTAACTGAATATGGTGTCTTTGTCCACACCTTTCGCTGTATTGGATCCTGAATATGGTTTCTCTGTCCACCGCCACGCAGGGCATGTGGCCTTGGCAGTACATCTGGCTGTCGAGGATGTCGGTGCTGTACTGCTCGAAGATGATGCCCTTGGCCCCGCCGGCGATGGCGGCTTGCGTCGCCATGTAAAACTCCGCCGGCGGAGGATAGGTGGACTGCGGGAACGGCGGTGCAAAGCATACGATGATTTTCCCGGTGATGTTTGCGGATCCGAGGTTCTTCCTGTCGCAGCTGATGCAGGAGTGAAGATTATTGGGTTATTTAATTATAATATAAATTAATTTCTAAATTTTTCAATGTCAAACTTTTTTAAGTTTGACAGAATTGATACGGAAAAAACACCAAGATTTATAGCACCTAATTAATTAATATCATTAGATAAACTATGAAATTTTTTTTCATTTGGTATCATAAATATTGTTGTATTTTTTATAAATTTACTTAAATTTGAAAAAGTTTGATTTAAGACAACTATAGAAATTAATATATTTAAGGACGGAGCGGCTATAAGATTGTTTGACACTTAATTTAGTGCCACTAAATCAAGATATAAACATATATACTACCGGGAGAAAGAATGAATTTTAAGAATTCTCCCACAATTGGAGACATCCAGCAATCGGTATTGTAATTCTAATCGCCATAAAAAATGGAAGCAAAGGGATCTATTCTATTCTTTCTTTTTTAAATTACACACCATTACAATTATAAAAATACTATAAAGTAACAAAAATATTTATCTAATTTACTCACTTCTGTCATTATGAAAATATAATAAAATGATCCCATAATATTTATCTAAATTACCAACTTAATTATACTATTATAACAAATAATCTAATTAAAATAACCCCTACTGTTCATTAAATTATCAACCTATATCATCATGGCAAATGATCTAAAGTTAACTCCAAAATTTGTAATAAAATTAGTCATCTAGGCCATTAGTTGAATAGCCAAAAGTAACCCATTTATGATATTATAAAAATGATATAAATTATAACCCATAAATTTGCATCTAAGTTCTGTTATTCAAATTTAAGATTACATAAATTAGCCTCCTATAGATGCATCATGGTAAAAACATATCCTAAAGAACTTCTATATGTGCTTTCAAATTATTCACTTCTGTTATTATTAACATAATAAATTGACAATCAAACAATTGTTGAAGTCCAATTTTACCATTTCAACTCAAAAACAAGGTATCATTGACCATCAAACTCATTGAAGGTTTTCCAAATATTCTAAAAATAAAATTCATTTTCTAATGTCTCTAAAAATTAAATAATATAAGAACTTCATTTTCATTACCAAAAAAGAATTTGGTACCAATTTTTGTCTAAGAATTCAATCCATCTACCTAATGTTTTATTGTTCTCAGTTTTACCCGTTTTTTTGGTTAAAGTATCGTTTTATGCTATACTAAGAGCATCTCCAAGAGTCTTTCTAATAGTTACTCTCTTAATCATCATTTGGATAGACATGAGAGCATGTTTTTTAGGGGCTGGAGGAGGAAAATTGCCACTTTTTTTCCATTTATCTTTTCACTCTCTAATAGCTTTTCTATATCGTTCGGTGAAAAGCGGCTCCAAACGACTCTGAAGCCGGTGGAGAAGCCCTGCCAAATGGGGCCTAAGAGCATCTCCAAGAGTCTTTCTAATAGTTACTCTCTTAATCATCATTTGGATAGACATGTGCATAAAAATTGTTTTTCTTTATCTTTTCACTCTCTAATAACTTTTCTATATCTTGTGCATACTCTATAGAGTAATTTTTTCTTCTTTTGGCTAGCAAGAAATCCAAAATAGAGATGGCTAATAACTGGATAGCCTTAAAGAATCTGTTAGAGGGTATTTTTCATCAAAATTTCTATTTCTACCGATTAGAATGAATATAGTGAGCCTCTTAGACTTCCTCTACGGAAGTATGTCGAAAGCAAAAGTGCATGTCTTACCCCTTGGTCACAAGATAAAGCGAAGTAAAGTCGTCGTTGCTGTTGGATGCAGCTGAGCGGTTGTGGTAAAATAGTGATTGCCCCTGCACGTGACTCAGGTTATATATATAACCTATTTTTTAATAACATACAAAATCAAAATTTAAAACCAAATATGCATAAGCACAGAATTTCAGCTTAACACATATGTAACAAAATTGCAACAACTAATCATATATAAAAGTTGATAGCTAAAATATAGATTAATCATGTCACATAAAAAGGATGTAACAAGATAGAATATAACTCAAACTTAGGTTTCACATCTTCAACATCATATGCTACCGCTGCCTAAAGAGGGATCAGATCAGATCAGATCAAATCAAATCCATGGGCCTCCAATCTACCGCAACAAAGAAGAAAATTAGGGCTAGAAACTGCTAATTAGTGCCAAGATCAATTAAATCAGGTTTTTGGAATTAGAGCTAATGAGGTATGCGAAGTCATCGGTATAGCTCGCACCACCAGAGGTGCTTTGTCACTAGAGGTCGCCACTCGCCATACACGTTACCACCGTACCGCATGTTGGAGAACAATGAAGATGACAAGCCAGAATTGCCGAGACGTTCAGTTAGACCCAATTAAATAGCTCGTGGATTTCTGATTATTTCAATAAATATTTTATTTCTTTAAACAGTTTTAGGTGGATTAGACCCGTTGCCTCTTTTTCACGTGAGTCTAGACATGGTTTATAGTGGAGTAGCTACACCCAGGAGTAGAAAAGAATTTGTCCCCATGTACTAGATACCTTCAAATGGAGCCTCCAAATTAATTCTTAGAATATGAGCATAAAAAAATCTATAAATTATCATAAGAAACAGAAACATCTAGCCATTAAATTTGTACGACTCTAATCATCATCTAAGAGAATAATAACTATTGGATCTATTCTATTCTCTAAAACAATTAGGAACTTCAATCATTACGCAAAACATAAATAATTTTGTAAATCAACTTGTAGACTCTATTATGAAAGATAATATACGGTAACTAAATAATTTGTATTTGAATTATTCACATTTGCCATAATGAAAGATAATATAAAGTAACATTTTTTATGTCCATATAAATTATCCACGTATCCTTATAAACGTAAACCAAAATATCCCTTGAAAGTAAGTCTAACTTACCAATATAAGCTATAATGAAAAAATCGATAACCACAAAGTACACTGTATATGTTCCTAAATTGCCCAATTTTACCACTATTAAATTCAACGTAAACATAAATATTATGTGTCGCCATGTATAAAACAAATTTTATATAGTTTATCAGTCATAATACAATGTTCGCTTAACAAAACCACATATAAGGACACTAAGAATTACGATTCACTTATATTTAAGGCTTTAAGACAATTTTGTAAGTTCTTAGTTTACGTAAGTTCACACATTTGATTCAAACATTATGACACATTAAATTAGTAGTTTAATTCTAGTACTCTACTTTTTTATAAAACAATATTACTGCACCTATAATTCTTAAGAATAAGAAATTTTAACCTCATGAATTTTGTGGTGCAAGTTGAATAATTGTTTATAATACTAAGATGGGAGTCTGGAAACTAGAATATATTTTTTAATAAAATATAAAAAAATGAATAAAATATACAACAACGACTAGAGTTTGAACTTCACATATCGATAAAAAAAATTGCAACAACTAATAAGATAAGTTGAAATAGTTTCGTTGAAAAAGATGCAACAAGAACTGGTCTTAATGTATGGTTTCAACTAAATATATATTAAAAACCCAAGTAGGAGATACAGAGGATGAAACAACAACCTGAGATACATTATAGAGTATATATGCTTATTGCATTAGGAAATAAAGAGAGGGAATAAAGATAATCCATTTTGTTAGTTGTTCGTACTAAACTTATTAACAAAACTTTTTTATACTTATGTACCATAATAAGATTATATGACATGATGGAGCATAGGTTGATGGGCTATTAATTTAAGTTAAGGTTTCACATATTTAGGACACATGAAATTGCGTGTATAGATAAACTACTATATAGAGAGTAATTTGATAAGCCCATAACAGTCAAATTCAGTAGAAATATCACAGTCAAATAGAAATTATAGGAACATGTAGGGTATCACTACAGAAAGTGACCATGGAAACAACAAAAGAAAAGTAACTTGTTATAAGTGGTAGATTCTAAACAAGAACTTCTACCACTAGTCCATCAACACATGCTCTCGCATGGGCTACATAATCTTAGGAGACAAAAACATCCATTATTGTTTATACCCATGATTGATAAAAATTACTTACATTAAATGTTATGTTTTTCTCTCCGTTCATTTTCAAACACAATATGCATACTATATACCCTATGGTATCTATCCTGTTGTGATAAACTTACTAATTACTGGTCTATATATTATGTCATCCATATCCATAGTTTTACTTTTACATGACACCTCTATGCATCTTCAATACACTAAAGTATGGTGGCTCTTGCTATGGGTCATATCTTCATGAATCCTTAAGTTAATTTGAAGCTCTTGTGCTTGTTTTACCCTTGTATTAGTTCTCCTTTTGTACTTCTTAAAAATAAGGATTTAGGTTGTAGACTGCACTCTTAAGTAACATGATGGCATAAACAATCATTCAAAACATGTACCATGTCGCTTAAGATTGATGATAAAGCTTAAGTGAGATTCAGGATGGGAGCAGTCATGCTAACATAAAGAGGGATATTAATATTTAAGCCTTATAATGGCTATTTACTCTACAAAAATCTCAAAGGCCATGAATATATGGCCACCTTTCGAATGCACTAAACTCCCCCACTCCTCAAAATATTTGAATTTTCTTATCAATGAATTATATGTATAATAATGGTTATATTATCAACATAGATATCTCAAAATGATTTAATTAAAAATGTATAAATATATCTAAAGTAACAACTTATATAAATTATATGTTTATTAATATAATTTTCCATAGTTTGTTAGTAACATTAATATATGAGTTGTAAACAATATATTTTTCATGATTGGTGATGCATAAATATATATTTATGCTCATGCAAGCATTTGTATTTGATCTACATGATGGCACAACATGTATATTTATCTTAATAAAATTTTAACATATTAATATTAGTAGAAGTGGGCAACATGAAAACATCTATGCACTTTTATGGTTATTTAAACATTGTAATAAAAGATGTTGATAATTTGATTTGTGAGTGGATATTTCAGATTTTTAATAATGAAAACATCTATGTTCTTTTATCCAATTTATTTGTTATGTAGATTATCTATCATAATAGTATATGGATAATTATATATAAATTTAGGTTTACCTAGATCATGTTTCTTAATGGCATATAATTGGATAATTTGAATATAGATTTGTGGGTTACTTTATGTTGTCTTATATAATCATAGAGGTGGACAATTATTTTTGAAAATAGAATGAATTCAATTTTTATTATTATCAATGGCATTAGGTCTACCGGATTGATGATCTTATGTTTCTAATTTTCATGATAATTTTCAAGATTTATCTTTTCTTGGTACCTAGTTTCGTGACGATTAACATGCTCCGTTGGGCCTTTAGTTAAAAATTTTAGGATTTATATTTCTTTAGGGTGATAATTATTAAGTTGAAACCTAAGTTTAAGTATATAATCTCTTATTGCATCTCTTTCCATGTCATAAATCTATATTTTAAATTTAAACTTTTAATCTAGTTGTAGCAATTTTTCAAACCACATGTGAACTTGAAATTCTAGTGCTTATCATATCTTTTATTCAAAATTTATATTTAATTAAAAGTAGATCTTGACCTTAGACTACCCTCTTAGTTCTTATAGTACCATAAATAGTTGTTTCAGCTTGCACTGTAGCACTTAAGATGTTGAATTTGTTATATGAACAAATTATATGTTTTGTTGTATTGTTTATAAAACGTAGAGTTCTTAAATTAATTACCATTATTAATATGACATAATTTTTTAGTAAAAAATATAAATTTTATTTAAAATAACAACTTAAGACATTTATTATCAAGTAGTATTAATATAACTTTGGATTTCTAGTGTCATTGCTATGTGGTTTGTTAATGCAACATTTTCCATACTTGATAAGCTATCAAATAAACATTTATTTTAAGGTATGGATGTTTAATCGGTATATATGTTTGAACATAGCATTATGTTTACTTTTATCTTAATAGTGCTAGAAGTGTGAAGTTTAGAAATATATATAATGTACCTTAGGGATATCGAATTAGTTTTGTGTTTACTTGTGGGTTTGAGAGATACTTTTGTTTATTTTTGTAATGGGTGATATGGATATAATAATTTAGATACAAATTAAAAGATGTTACATTATATTATCTTTTATAATGGCACATATAGGTAGTTTGAATGCAAACTTTAGGATAATCTATATTATATTCATAATGACATACATGAGTAATTTTGAATTATCTTTCACAGTGGCAGAGGTGGGTAATGTAGATATCAATTTCAAGAGTTATTTTGAATTAACTTCCACAATGGCAAAGGTGGATAATTTAGATACAAATTTAGAGTGCTATTTTAAATTATCTTTCATAGTGACAGATGTGGTAATTTTGATGTAATTTACGGGATTGTTTTATGTATTTTTTATAATGGTAGTGGTGGGCAATTTTTGTTTATATAAAAGAATAGATTCAATAGTTATTATTGGAGATGATAATTAGACTCTACCAAAAGCTAGATGTTTCTAATTATTGTCATAATTTCTAGAATTTATTTATTATTAGTGTGTCAATAAGAATTAACATGCATCCTCTCCAATTAGTAATAGTGAGATATAAGATACGGAATACTCGTGAGATTGTAGCATGAGGTCGTGTCGTTGATAGGCCAATGAATCAGTGATGCATATCTGAAGTGGGATGAATGACAACCAGTAAGTGGTAGGAGTACGTACCACCAGTTTTTCTCCGCCGACGAGTATTATGACGGTCGGGAAGTAGCGATCCACGGTGGTGGCGGCCACCGTGATGCCCCACGGCAGGGCGTTGCTGACAGACTGCTGCACGGGGCCATTGTTCCCTCCGGAGAGCACCACTGTGATCCCGGCCGAGACGGCGTGCTGCGTCTCCTCGATCTCCGAACCTCCCAACGACATGGACAGGACGTCCACGCCGTCTCCAATGGCGGCGTCGATGGCCGCGACTATCGACGCTAGGCCGCAATCACAGAAGCACACCTTGTAGATCGCCAGCCGCCGCGCGCCAGCCCGGCGGCCAGGCCACCACCATAGCTCGCGTCCCTCACCGGCGAGCCGGCGATCGTGGAGGCAGTGTGCGTGCCGTGGCCGTCGGCGTCCCTCGCCGACTTGTACTCGCCCTTGAGGCCCTCCTCCCGGGCGTCGCAGTTGTACCACCTCGCGCCGATGATCTTCCGGTTGCAGTTGCTCGCGTTGAACGCCTGGCCGGTCTGGCACACGCCTTTCCACCGTTTCGGCACGGGGCCATATCCGGTGTCGTCGAAGCTCCGTGATTCCGGCCAGATGCCTGCGCCGCAGCATGTGTATCTCACCAAATTGTATTTACAATTGAAGCTGAATGAGTAAATATATCAGAATCCAAACCTCCGTCTATGACGCCGACGATGACATCCTCGCCGTACTTGGCCTTCCTAAGGAGCCGTGACGACGACGCTGATGGCTGTTGGCCGTAGCTCATGCCAAGAAAATCCCAGCTCCGAGTCGTGTGCAATTTGTGGTAAGTGTTAGGCCTCACTCTCACAACACCAGGGTATTCTACAACATCATTGCAAATAAATTTGTTATTATCAGTTCATACTGCTAACGCTTGCGAGTAATATAACATGACTTTAGTTTGTTCAGGCTTTTATTGTGTTGGTTCGATCGGTGACTACGCACTCCGAAGCTCCTCTGCCTGCGCCTCGGTGAGCTTTGCCGCGAAACCGGAGAATCCGTGCTTGTAGCTGTAAACTATGGAGTTGAGGGCTTCATCCTTGCTGCTCCATCGATGATACATATATATGAGTGGCAAAAGGTGAGGAGAAAGCCAGCTTACAAATATATAAATGTGTGCAGAGCCATTGCCAGCTTGTTGAATGAGTCGTTTACCTCCCAAGAATGGAGGTCAGCGCGGCGTGGTGAGAAGCCATGACCACGGATGGGTCATCGTGCATCTTTCTACCCATGTACACAACGTAGATCGTCGTCTGAGTTTTTCAGGAAGCAGCATCAGTGACAACTGACAAGCAAGGCCCCTTGTCAAGGGAGAGACCTACAGAGACACCAAGCTTCAGGGAAGAGGAAAAGGAAAGCACACAGCTTACTTCGCCTGATGATGCATCAGTGTACTGCAGGGGCAGCAGTAGCACGAGGAACCCAAGCAGTAGTGCGGATGATGATGAGATAGTTTGTGATCTCGAGGCCATCTTTGGATTATTATTCTGATGAGTGCACATCTTCGTGTGCCTGTGTATGCTACTTGCATGTGTATATATAGCTGTTTTGGACCAATGGTATGTCAGTTGTGTGATAATCTGTCTTATGAAGCATAATTGTCTTATAGCTGTTTTAATTTGGACCAATGATATGTCAGTTATGTGAAGGACACAAACAACAACAACAACAACAAAAAAGGAGAGACAGAGGACATTGTTCCGCAAAGAATTTTGGACCATGAAACTATTCTGCATGAATTCACAAGTCACAATATTCATTTTGTTCCAAGCAAAGTAATTGTGGGACTAAAATTGTTTAATCGTCTCAAGATTTTGCATCACTGCATAGAGCAGCCTATTTTGGAAAATATATGTGAATCGACAAAGCAGTTACTAACTTGTTACAAATAGGAAGACACTAGTATTCCCTATTCTTTTCAGCTGAAACACCTAATATTCCTAGTAAAGCCTAAAGGCATGATGTGTCCCTAGCACTATAAAAAGCAATTTATGGAGACATCTCGTTTAATTTCAGGAAAAATCCTAAAATGCACTACGTCAGAATAGCACTTCACTGCCGGTTCAAAACACCCCATCACTACCAGAATTTTGAACCGGCACAACCATACCGACAGTGATGAGGGTAAGATATCACTGTCGGTTCCTACAAACCGGCAGTGTTCTTCAACTTCACTGCTGGTTCTTTACACAACCGGTAGAGTTCAGTTTCACCAACACTGCCGGTTCATAAGACCACCGGCAGAGTTCGGTTCCACAAACACTGTCGGTTTGTGTTTCAACCGGCAGTGTTCTCGTAAGAATCACAGCCGGTTTATGACAAGAACCGGCAATGCAACACTGGTGGTTTGTGTTTCAACCGGCAGTGTTCTCGTAAGAATCACTGCCGGTTTGTGACAAGAACCGGCAGTGATGTATAAGCCAACGCTGCCGGTTTGTGGCTCTAGCCGGCAGTGATGTTTACGACAACACTGCCGGTTTGCTGCTAACTGGCAGTGATGGCACGTTCACATTTTATTGTTTTATAATTTATTTTAATTTATATTTTTTTGTGGAATCGGGTTTCGTTTTATATACGCTACGTAGACGACAGGTCCATCAATATTAAACATTACAAATATTACGGTTACAGTTCAAATGTTCTTATCAAGATCTCGATCCCTCAAAATAAAAAAGAAATGTTCTCAGACTTCACATATTGTGCAATGCTTCTCGGACTTCACATATTGTGCAATCCTTCTCGGATTTTTTAATAATAATCTGGCGAGCCGCTCTAGACCATACTGGTCCTTGAACTTCACGGATTGTACAATAGAAAATACTCCATCTTTTTTCAATACCTCGGCTAAGATGAATTTTGCCAGCTCTGATTGCAGTGCGACGATCACCATGTCTAACAACCTTTTGTGGTTATATTTCTTGCGCTGTCGTTCAAAAAAGATGATATCCAAAGAGCAATCAGTAAATCATTTTGTTGAATTATTAACAGACATAAATAACATGGGGATTGTACACACCAACTTATCAGCTTCTTCCGATTTCTCGCCGATGTAGCGAAGCATTACCCACATTACATAAAACCCGCATTCATTGTTTCCCGTCGGCTATTTTAGGTACTTCCCCTCCATTTCAACAACCTTGAATGGGACCTCGTCCCACCGATATGTCTTCTTCGGACACTAAGCAACATTAAACCGAGAAACATTAGAAAGCGGTATGTGTGATTAGAAAGCGGTATCTGCCACCAGTGCATCCAGATGATGAAATTGTTTTTTCTTCGAGTCCCACACCTCGATCAGATTTTTGGCAAGATTAACACAAATGAAGACGAAATGGTTGCTGCAATCACAGAATCCTAATTATCGAATAATCTTAACGAAAAAAGAAGCATAAAATTAAAAGCCGAGAACACATACTCGCAGTTGTAGGCTAGAAGTATGTGGGTTTTGTTCTTCATCTTGAATTCGTCGAAAAAAACAATCAATCTCTATTTTAGGTCTTCCACGTCACATCCATAGAGGCCTAGACATGTCTTCTCATTGACTCGCAAGGGGTCCAAGAAGCCTATGTTATCCTATTTGCTTTTTAGAATGCAAAATTTTGCTATACACCTATATAAAATCATGGGAAGTGCTCAAAAGTTAACAATTTGTGTCTCGAGAGAGTAGTTAATTGTAATATCGTGCGTGTAGGGTACTTACATAGTCCACAACATCAACATTTGTGTATCGAGAGAGCGTTTCTGGTATAGCTGGAACAAACACTCCCACTCGACATTGAACTTCTCTTCTTTAGGATAATGAAAAACATGTGGCGAACAGATAATAACGTCAAAACCAAATTCCTCCATCTATGTTGCTTGAGCCATGTAATATTCATGCAACTGGCGCATATATGTTATCAAATTTTTATACTCGTCATCGGGAACCAAAAGATTGCCCCTTTCATACTTCATTGCCGATGTTCCCATCCCATGTACATCATAATAGATGTTCGTGGCATCTTCCATGGTTAATTTGGGGTTGTCTTCGACGTACTTTTGTATCTTCCTTAAATCTTCATTGTGTATTTCATCGGCTCTTATTGTAGCGTACTGATTCTATGTTTGCCTTTTGAATTCGGACTACAACAAATACGAAGGTAGTGAGGCACAGAGATTGAAGAAACTAACACAATCTTCTCTTCGAGATGTGTGCTGTAAATTTTCCTTCCATCAAGTTTGTAACGCTGCCACTGAATGGCCTTTTTCTTTTTTGTTGGTCCACTTTGGGAGCATTAGCGATCGAATCCAAGGACCTTTTCTGCTACTGCGAGGATGCCCTTGATCTTGTTTTGGGCTGAGGTGGAGGAGGAGGATGATGATGATGATAAGAATTTTGTTTTCCCGGGGCTGATGAAGATGGAGGAGGAGGAGTCTTCTCTTTTCTTAGGGCTGATGAAGATGGAGTCGGACGAGGAGGAATAGAAGGAGACCTCTGTCTTCTTGGGGGTGATGGCAAGGGATGAGGAGGGGAGTGATCTCTGTTGGGAGATGGTGAGTGATCATCGTGGGTGGGAGAAGACTCGTAGTCATCCTCATCATTAGAGGACAATTGGTGGTCAAGCTTATTGAAGCGCTTGTGCCAGGCCACTTGAGAGCCCTTGTTATGACCAAGTTTTAGCCTGTCTTCCGCTACGAGGTACTCAATTTGTATCTTGTTATACTTCTTATCAAATATTCTATCAATGGTGACGCGAGCGTACCCCTGTGGAATTGGGCGGCCATTAATGGTCCCGTCTCCTGCAGGCCTGGCCTGGCCGAGTGCCACCTTGTCCTTTGTCCATTAATGATGGATGTACAACTTGACATTGATGGGTTCAGTGATGCCATCCACTGGATGAGGCACATTCGCATCTTCTTCGTCGAGCGGGGTCGATCCGCAGCTGATGTGATCCCTAAACTGTGGGCTAAAGGTAGTAGGAGTAGGGTTTTGTGGTACTCCTGACCCCTTGGACAGTAAAATTTGCTGGACTCGTGCTTCAACAGTCGCGTCAATCCGTGTGTCCATTCTGTCTTCCATCTCTTTTAGTCGCCTCAAATACTCTACCTCCTGATCCGCTCTACCCCTCGAGCGGCTCTGGTAAGTGTTAGATTCTTGGGGGAATGCTAGTTTCCAAGGATCAACATCGGTTCCTCTAGTGCGACTAGGGTGCTCCTTGGTTTCGAGTGCTTGGATGAGCACGTCTTTCTCCCTATTAGAAGTGCGAGTCCCTTGCCTCACCTCCTCAGTTACCTGGGAGATCCTCTGAATGAGTTCGCTCATGGGTTGATTTGTGGAGCTAAAGCTCCCGTCCTCAGCATGACGTACATTCCTCCCCATACAGTATATTACCGATCTGGGCTCCCAATCGGTGATCTCAACCTAAATGCCTTCCTCAGCAAGGCGATCCATCTTTTCAAGTTCTGCTTCAAATTTTGGCATCTTTTTGGCGTAGCCACGAGAGCCGAGATGATAAGGATTCGTCGCTTTCTGTGAGTTCTCCTTATTCTTCCTGCTCAGTTCTAAGTACTCCTTGGATAACCTGTATTCCTTGAAATCCTGCTAGAAGTCCTTCTGCTTGCTAAACTGTCCACCATTGAAATCTGGCTCTTTATTTTGGAGGACAAAATTCTTGTACAATGTCCCCTTGAAATTCTTGAAGCATGTCCCCATGATTTCTTTTGCTTTTTTCTTGACTAACTCCTTGTCATACTCTGTTGGGAAAGTGAAATACTCTGGGATCTTGATATTCCATATGTAATACTTCTCACTTTTGGGAACTCTCCATGGGTCATCATCTTTCCCAATCCACTTCCTGTACCTAATCGGGATGAAGTCCCTTACAAGTAACCTGAGGATAGTCTTGTATTTGGTCAAAGCTATAGGCAGTGAGAGTGGATCCTCGAATTCATCGAACTCAGTGATGTGCCAGTGTGCATTCCTACCAATAGGAATCTTTGACACGCCTCGCTTGGATCTGGCCTTCCTGCTACCCGAACCCTCTACCTCCTCAGCCGGCGGAGGCTCCTGCTAGAGACACCAAGTAAGCTATGACCCTCTCAATTGATTAGTGTGTGTGGCTACATAGTCACATGATACCAAAGTTACCTAGCCATCTTGGTCATTTTGACCTAGATCGAGCAGGTCGGACGGGGTCCATGGCTGCTCATTCTCACCATCCTGATTGACACCGTCACCGTTTGTCGGATCATGCGGCTCTCCCGTCCCAGCGATATCAGTCGCTTCTTGTTGCCGATCTGTTCTTCGACGACGGGGTAACAGACGATGACGAGTCTTGGCTGTGACATGATCGTGATTAGTTTTGGCTGCGGACAACTACTAATAGCATATGTTCATATTATATATATAGTATGTTTAATGCAAAATCTAATAATAAGTCCACATACAACAAAGTCAAATAATAGCATATGTTCACCTAGAACAAATTCATTATTTGATTGACCACATACAACAAAGTCCACCTACTGTTCTATGAATCTAAGCCTATATCAACTTCCAAATAAGAAAAGCAATGACCATAGCCATAAATAAAAACATGACATCTTTCCAAGACCAAGGAGCAATTCTCCTAATCTTCACATCCCCGGCGGGTGGCTTCTCTTCAATCTTCAGTGCCAGCGGATGGCCATGGTTTGCATTCATTGGACCATAGTAGGAGAGTTGCCCATGGTTTGCAAGGTAGCTGGATGACTATAGTAGGCCCTCAAAGCTTCAACTTCTGTGTTGTATTTTTTGTGCAAATTACCTAGGTAGCGGTTGACTTGAGTATAGCAATATTCCCAGGTTCGATAAATCCCAGGCATGTGACCAACATGCACTACATACCATGCCATGGTTGCCTATACGTTTAAGTAAATTAGGTTGTCATTCAAACATGATGTATTCTTATAAAATATAATATATTTATAAATAATAGACAACTATTGCATAGATAGGAGTGTTTGGAAAACAACTATTCACATGCCTCAGTAATAGTTACTACAACTTATGATTATATCATTATTGCACATGACCATAGCCTCAGTCCAATTAATATATTAAGTCATCATAACCTTAGTCTAAGTGCATTGAACCCTCTACAATGCATACAAGATAAAGAAAAGTTGTTAGATGTAGAAAAGATATAAAGAATATTTTTTTATTCGTTAAAAACCAAATGATGATTTAGAGAGCCAGTTTAAGACTTTTGGATATACTCTAGAGATGCCTCAGAGTCTTTCATCGAACCAAATGATGTAGTTGTACTTGTACCTATCTGGTCCATGCTAAGATGTGCAAGAGGCTAGAAATTGGATAGAATGCAGTCTTGCCATGCTATTGTTTTTCCATTTCATTGGATTAGAAATTAATATGTTCTGGATCCTAGGTGTCTAGAAAATTCCTGAATTGTGACTCATTTACATTATGGTTCACCTGAAGCATCGCATTTCTTCAAGGCTATTGGTGAGTAGTTTGATCAGAGGGGAAATTGGTTGTAGCTTTACCTATCTAGTCGGTGCTAAGGCTAAGCAAGAGGTTGTCCAACAGAGTCATTGATATTTATTGGTTAACAATTTCCACAATTTGGTTATGTGTTCAGGCGCATGGAGATAAGAAGGGTGGAACCCCACAGGATGGGGTGAAAATGGACAAGGGCAAGATCTTGAAGGTTTCATGGGATGGGAGTGCTGATTCGTACAATGTGGCAAAGTTGGAGGAGCTCTTCCAGAAATTTGGCAAAGTTGAAGACATTGTTATCAAGATAAGGAAATCAAGGAGTAAGGGCTCATCAATTGTAGTAATGGGCTCCAAAGAAGCTGCAGTAAGTCCTCTTTCTCTACCCTTTTATCATTTGAGTGCATTCCATATTTGACTAAGAATAGTTTGACTTATGTCAGTTACCGGAGCTGTCTTTTTTTGTGTTAGTGATACTTTGATCTGAATCTTACATGGTTAGTAGGGGCAAATATACATCTCATACTATCCCAGGAAAGTGACATGCAAAAATTCATAATAAGATAGGATTGTTGGAAAATATTCCCAGTTTAATGCACAAGGCTACATAACTATGTATTACTTGTAATCTTGCATAAGTTAATAATTATGCATCTTTATGCTAATAGCATGGAGAATTCCATGACAAGTTTGGAGTGGTTATCCAAAGAGCAAACCAAATTCTAAAAAGTTACCAGGCAACTAGGTTCTTCTTGTTGTACTACATTATTTCTTTCCATGGTTGTGCATATGCTCTTGTTTTTATTTATCTGATCATAGTAGGGTCCTCCCCTCTGTTAAATATTTGGGATCATTACTGAATGACATTTCCTATCTTTGAATTATATTACTTGCATTGTGCAATGACCAATACTTGTTTCTCTTTTTTATAGTTATTAGCAATACAGAACCATTTTTCTCTGTTTCCATTAGCAATACAGTTATTAGCATGGAGATTTGTGAAAGGATTTGCATTGAACTGTCACTCGGATGCATGCCGTGGATCAGAGCTTTCACTGCATAAGCAGCTAGAGAACGGTGGGGCATTTCATCAAACACAAAGACGGCAGTGAGCCATGCACTCACTGTGGGGGGTGGAAAAGCAGATGTCCGCGTGCTCCTGAAGGCCTCGGCAGTGGGAGTGTAGGCTTGAAGGAGGAGGGGCACGGCCGGCGTCGTGGACGAGGAATGAGGGCACGGACGGCACGGTGCTCTAGCGTGGGGCATTCGACGGCGTGGGGTGGAGCTCTGGCGTGGGGCGGTGCATGGGCGTCGGCATTGAAGAAGAGGAACGCAGGGCTAGGAACGGCGGCACAGGGGGCGATGGACGGGTGCGCAAGGAACAGTGGTGCCCGTCAGCGCGGGGTGGTGCTCCGGTGGTGCGGGGGAGGGGTTAGCATGGGGTTGAAATGAATTTGGAAGATTTCAACCTGCGCATTGCTATATACCAATGAGGTTCATCACTGTCGGTTCTAATAATAAACTGACAGTGACGAGGAGCATCACTGCCGGGCCATACTTCAAACCGGCAGTGATGGGGCTGTACCAGTTAGGGGTTAAGTAGTATAACTTTTCCCTTCCTTTCAAATTCCTCCGACTACCTCAATGGTTAAGACTCCGCAACTTAACCCCCAAGACCTGTGTTCAAGTCCTAAGCGGCCCAAATTTTTTGTTTCAATTTTATAAATTATTAAATGAATTTTCTTTGTGCACCTTCTTTCTCTATGGCCTTCTTAGCGTTCCTCTTCATCTCGGCCTGATCTAGAGACTGGAACAGTACACGCATCAAGTAAATGGATCACTCAACAATCAACACACAAGCCACAGGCATTCCCATTCACATCTCTAGGAGCACATACATCAATGATCAATGAAGGTTGGAGGAGGAATGGAGCTACTACACCTTTGCTCAATGCCGACTGTGGGCTGGGCTCCTTCGAGTATTGCAAGCAGGGACTACAAACTAGTTGGGGACTAGTGGCGTCGAGGAGCTGTGGATCCCTCACTACTACTAGTAGCTCGGAAGAGAATGGCCGCCCCAATGTCCTTCTATCGGAAGTCTAGACATATATATTTATATTTAGCTGGTGTTTAAATTCAGAGAGTAAAGTTTAGAAATGTTACGTCCGGTGTCTAATCGAGTGTTTGAATAGTAATAAGGTCAGTCTCAATGGTAGTTTTAAATAACTTTCATTCTCATTAATTGCTATGATACGTCAGCATATTTGCTGAGTTGACAGAGTATTAACGAGGAGAGAGGAGATGAGAGTTTCATTAGGATCAAACTTCCTTCATGATTATGTGCATAATGATTACATAGTTAACAATAATCTAACTATCTTTACATGCATCAACAATGAGGGCATCATTGTGATCAAGCCATACGTAAGCAGGTTCGTCACCCTCTTGAAGGATAGGTAGGGGTACGTTCGCCCCGAATGGAGGCATTTCCTGATAGCCCCTATAGTCTTCTTCATCCGTCACTCCATCGACACTAACAATCTTCCTTTTCCCTTCTAGGACTACTTTTAGCCTTCCTTTTGTCTTGTTGTCCCTTGCATAGAAGACTTGCATAATATCTCTTGCAAGGATGAAGGGGTCATCTCTGTATGCGGTCTTAGTGAGATCAACAGTAGTGAACCCTTCGCTGTCAGTGTTGATTTCCTCGAGCCAGACCCACTGGCAGTGAAAAAGAGCTGCCTTCAATGGACCGTAGGCTAGCTCTCATATCTCCTCTATGAAACCATAGTATGTCGCCTGCACGTTGCTGTTTTCATCGTGAGCATCAAAAAGAACACAATTTTGGTATGTGCTCTTTCCATCTTGCTTTTTTTGTGTAAAATCTGAATCCATTGATCTCATACCTTGGTACTTAAGATATGTACTCAAAGGTCCCTTGGCTAAGGCATCTAGTTGATTACCCAACTTTATTCCAAGCAAGCGATGTTGCAACCACTTGACAAATTCCTCGTTATGTTTTTTATCCAACCAAGCCCGTGACCTGCTCGGATACAGAGTTTGCAGCGATTGCCTATGCTCGTCAATGTATGGCATCACACCCTTGGCTTGCTAGAGAACAACGAATATGCCTATCTGAAACAAATAGGGTCATCTAGTGTAACAGATTTCTCCCCGATCGTTCCTTTGCCACATAGTCTTCCCTCGCGATGAGATTCTGGAACTCGACCCTTTTGATGTCTAGATAATATGTGCAGAACTCAATGGCCTCCTCCATTGACCATCCTTCAACCATGCCCCTTCTGGCCTGAATCTATTCCTAACAAACCTCCTGAAAACTTTCATCAATCTTTCAAAAGGGAACATCTGATGCAAATACATTGGGCCAAGGGCTCTAATTTGGTCAACAAGATGAATGAGTAGATGCAACGAGATATCAAAGTAAGTCGGTGGAAATGCATCTCAAGCCTAACGAGAGTTTTGGCTATGTCCCACTGTAGTTGCTTTAGCGTGGACACATCAATGACCTTTTTTTAGATCGCGTTGAAGAACGAGCAAAGCTTTATGATTGGGGCACGGACCTTTGGGGGAGGATACCACGTAGGGCAACAGGGAGCAGCTGAGTCATAATGACATGACAGTCATGGGTCTTCATAGGGCCATAGTTGAACTTGAGTTCTCTCATGTTCACTAGCCTCTTCGGGTTTATACAGTAGCCTGTCGAGACTTTGAGTTCATTGAAGAAAGAAATAAGCGCACGCTTTTCTTCCTTATTCAATATCCATGATGCAACTGGAAGTTCGAACTAGCCATTCTCTAGCTCCACGGGATGCAGCTCCTTCCCGATTCCCATGTGTTGCATGTCTAGGTGTGTGGCTAGTAAATCCTTTGATGTCCCCCTGGTGTCCATCAAGGTGTTAAGAGTGTTAGCGCACATGTTTTTAGTGATGTGCATGGGAACACGATAGTGGTGTACACTCAGAAATGGCCAGTAAGGTAGTTTCTAGAAAACCAATTTTTTCTTCCAAACGCTCCCATCAGACGCTGCTACTGCATTGTCCCCCTTCCCAATGACAACCTCTAGTTTGTTGAGTTCTCGAAGTATCGCAGGCCCGTCTTGATATTTTGGAGCTAAGCATTTCTCAATAGTACCGTTGAAATCTTTTCTGTTCCTGCGGTAAGGGTGATCCTTAGGTAGGAACCTATGGTGTCCCATATAAACTATCTTTGAGTTATTTGGCAGATTTACCGCATCGGTGTCATCCAAGCACTCGACACATCCAGTATAGCCTTATGTCTTCTCTCCGGACAACGAACCTCGACCTGGTAGGTCGGTGATTGTAGTGATAAGTACTCCCTTGATCGTGACATGTTCCTTTTTGTACTCATCCCAAACATCCGGCACACCCTTTTCAAACATCTCCACTAGTTCATCGATCACTGGTTCCAGAAACACATCAATGTCATTCCCAGGTTGTCTTGGCCCTTGGATTAGTAGTGGCATCTAGATGTATGACCGCTTCATACAGACCCAAGGTGGAAGGTTGTATATACAGAGCGTCACTGGCCAGGTGCTATGATTGCTTCTAACTTGGTCTAAAGGATTCATCCCATCTGTGCTCAAAGCAAACCAAAGGTGCCTTACCTCTCCACTGATGTCCTTATAGAACATAGTATTGACAGTCCTCCAGTCATGCCCATCAGCGGGGTGCCTCATCATTGTATCTTTCTTACACTCTTCGCCATGCCAGTGCAACAGCTTGGCTAACTTTGCACATGTAAATAGCCTATGCACCCGGGGAGCTATAGGGAAATACCAAACAACCTTTATGGGACCTCCTCTGGTCTTGGTACCCTCATCTAATGACCCTTCCTTGTACCGTGGAGCTTCACACTTGGGGCACTTGTCCAAGTCTTTGTATTTTTCTCCATGGTACAATATGCAATCATTGGAACACGCATGGATTTTTTCAACCTCGAGGCCGATGGGGTAGATCATTTGCTTGGCCAAGTATGTCTTTTCTGGCAACTCATTTTTTCTAGGAGCATTTTCCTTATTATACCTAACAACTGATCGAAGCCTTTATCGCTCAATCTATTTGTTGATTTGAACTCTAACAGCATGATGTCGGCTTCCAGTTTGCTCATTGGACAATCCCTATACAATGGTGTTTTGCCATCTTGTCTCATTTTCTCTAGCTTTCTCAGATGTCTTTCACTAAGACATCCGGTCTCTACATTACATAGCAGCTGAGAAATGCCATCGTTATCCCCGGTGTCATCAGCTAGCGTGTTCCTAAACACATTATTAACTGTGGCCATAGGTTCCATGTTGACACCGGGTTCCTTGTCAGCATCGTGGATGGCTACGTCAGGCATGTCCACATTATCATCATTTTTCTACAGAATATTCACACCAACCTTGCCATGCATAGTCCATATCATATAGTTTGGCATGAACCCCCTGGTAATCAAGTGCGATCATATAGACTTAATTTGATGAAAGTTCCTTTGATTCTTGCAATCTTTGCATAGGCAGAAGACAGGGTTCCCATTCCCAGC